AGATCCCCACCCAGGAAAACCCCACTCCAGATCACCACTCAGTGAGTAACCCACCCCAGATCACCCCAGTGGTAACCCACTCCAGACCACCACTCGTGAGAACCCACTCCAACACCCCCAGTGAGTACCCACCCCAGACCACCACTCAGTGAGAAACCCACTCCAGATCACCACCCAGTGAGTAACCCACTCCAGATCACCACCCAGTGAGTAACCCACTCCAGATCACCACCCAGTGAGTATCCCACTCCACACCCACCACCCAGTGAGTATCCCACTCCAGACCATTACCCAGTGAGTAACCCACTCCAGATCACCACCCAGTGAGTACCCACTCCAGACCATTACCCAGTGAGTATCCCACTCCACACCACCACCCAGTGAGTACCCCACTCCAGACCACTACCCAGTAACCCACTAGAAACTAGGATCACGTGCCCAGACCCCTTGCAACATGCCCAGAACCTTTACAACATGCCCAGAACCCTCCAAAATTTCCATAGCCTGCTTAGAACTTCCAAAAACGTGCCCAGAACCCTCCACAATCAGAGCAGAACCTTTACAGTCTTCGGTGAAATCCTCGAATATCACTTTTCTATCCATACAAGTCACATTATTATTATTATTATAATCAAGGGGGAAGCGCTAAACCCCATACAAGTCACAGCAACACGACGGGACCCAAATGTCAGCCTCGACTATTATCCAGAACCCCTCCCCCCCCCCCACTGTCAGCCTAGAACTCCTGCAACCTGAGCAGAACCTCTCTCTTCCTAGCCGCAACACTATTGAGCTTAGTTATGAACCTCTGTGATCTACCCAAAAATTTCTCCCAACCTGCTCAGACACCTCGGCCCCGTAGCTTCTTTGGTAACGCACTTCGTACACTCAGGTCCCCGGCACCGGGGAAGCAGTGGGGGCGTGTTTCAATAAGACACCTGCTGTCTCTATTCACCTAGCAGTAAGTAGGTACCTGGATGTTAGTCCCCTTTTACCCCTTGCTGTCATTGTTCACATAGTAGGTAGGTACCCTGTCTTAATCACCTTACAACCTGCTGTCATTGTTCATATAACAGTAAGTAGGACCTGGGTATTAGTCACCTTTCACCTGCTGTCCCTGTTCACCCAGCAGTAAGTAGGTACCTGGGTGTTAGCCAACCCAGGTGGGGGTTGCATCCTGGGGAAACAAAATAAACCTAAGCTGCATACTATGCTCTACATAGATGTCATTGTTTGTCAGCTATGATCTGTATAATTTGTTAATGAAACTTGTAGAAATAAAGATTATTATTATTATTATTATTATTTTTTATTATTATTATTATTTATTACATAAGCCACAGTAACTCTTGACTCTCTTACAGGAAACTTCGGTTACTAACGAAGTCCGAACACATTCCTAAAGGGCCACAAACATCTTTGTTAAGACACCTCAGCTAACTTTCTAGGTAAGTGTGTGCGTGCGTGGTGTATATGTGTGTGTGGTGCGTGCGTGTATGCGTCGCGCGGTGTGTGCGTGCATGCACCTGTATTAAAAAATTTCTATTTATTTGAAAATATATTCGTAATATTTTAAGGGAAGGGGTCAGAGCTCCAGCTCCTGGTACTGTCCCCGGACAAGCGGCTCTCAAAACTCACTTACAGTGTAATACAGTGTAGTTACAGTGTGGATACAGTGTAAGTACAGTGAAGGTACAGCGTTAGTTTCAGTGTAGATACAGTGTAATCACAGTGAGGTATGTAGATACAGTGTAGGTAAAGTGTACATACAGGTAGATACAGTGAAGGTTTAAAAAGTAGATACAGTGTAGGTACAGTTTTAGGTACAGTTTAGGTACAGTACGTACAGTGTAGTACACTGTAGGTAATGTGTAGGTATAGTGTAGATACAAAATAAAATTTCAGTGTAGCTGCAGCGCAGATACAGTGTAGGTTTAAATGTAGTATAGTGTAGGTTTTAGTGTACATACAACATAGCTACAATGTAAGTACAGTGTAGGTAGGTAGGGGGCAATGTAGGTACGGTGTGATACAGTGTAGGTGCAGTGTACATACAATGTTTAAAACAGTGTAGGTACAGTGTAGATTCAGTGTAGATACAGTGTGTAGGTACAGTGTAGGTACATTGTAGATACAGTGTAGGTACAGTGTAGATAGTGGGAGATACAGTGTAGGTACAGTGTAGATACAGTGGCAGGTACAGTGTAAAGGGACAATGTCGATACGTGTAGATACAGTGTAAGGTACAAAGTTTGGTACAGTGTAGATACAGTGTAGGTACAGTGTAGATACAGTGTAGATACAGTGTAGGTACAGTGTAGGTACAGTGTAGATACAGTGTAGGGACAGTGTAGATACAGTGTAGATACAGTGTAGGTACAGTGTAGGTACAGTGTAGATACAGTGTAGATAGTGTAGGTACAGTGTAGGTACAGTGTAATACAAATGTAGGTACAGTGTAGATACAGTGTAGGTACAGTGTAGAACAGTGTAGGTACAGTGTAGGTACAGTGTAGTACAGTGTAGGTACAGTGTAGGTAGTGTAGATATAGTGTAGGTACAGTGTAGATACAGTGTAGGTTTCAGTGTAGGTAGTGTAGGTACAGTGTAGATATAGTGTAGGTACAGTGTAGATACAGTGTAGGTACAGTGTAGGTACAGTGTAGATACAGTGTAGTGTAGATACAGTGTAGTGTAGATACAGTGTAGGTACAGTGTAGATACAGTGTAGGTACAGTGTAGGTACAGTGTAGGTACAGTGTAGATACAGTGTAGGTACGTGTAGGTACAGTGTAGGTACAGTTTTAGATACAGTGTAGGTACAGTGTAGGGACAGTGTAGATACAGTGTAGGTACAGTGGAGATATAGTGTAGGTACAGTGTAGATACATGTAGGTACAGTGTAGGTACAGTGTAGGTACAGTGTAGGTACAGTGTAGGTACAGTGTAGATACAGTGTATGTAGATACAGTGTAGTGAGATACAGTGTAGGTTTCAGTGTAGATACAAATGTAGGTACAGTGTAATACAGTGTAGGTACAGTGTAGATACAGTGTAGGTACAGTGTAGGTACAGTGTAGGTACAGTGTAGATACAGTGTAGGTAAGTGTAGATACCCGTGTAGGTACAGTATAGATACAGTGTAGGTACAGTGTAGATACATGTAGGTACAGTGTAGATACAGTGTAGGTACAGTGTAGATACAGTGTAGGTACAGTGTAGATACAGGTAGGGACAGTGGGAGATACAGTGTAGGTACAGTGTAGTACAGTGTAGGTACAGTGTAGGTACAGTGTGATACAGTTAGGTACAGTGTTTGATACAGTGTAGGTACAGTGTAGATACAGTGTAGGTACAGTGTAGATACAGTGTAGGTACAGTGTAGGTACAGTGTAGATACAGTGTAGGTACAGTGTAGATACAGTGAAAGGTACAGTGTAGATATAGTGTAGTAAAGTGTAGATATAGTGTAGATACATTATACAGTAGTTATAGTGTAGGTACAAAATTATTTTAAACCTACATTTTACAAAAATTCACATACTGTGTTGTTAAGAAAAAACAATGTCACACACACACACAACACACACAACACACACACACACACACACACAAAACACACACCACACACACACACACACACACACCACACAACACACACACAATACACACCACACACACACACACACACACACACACACACACAAACACACCACACACCCACACCCACACACCACACACACACACAATTATTGCATTTTCACAAAAAACCAAACCAAACAAAAAACAAAACATTAAACAAATTCAAAACAAACAAAACAAAACAAACCAAAAACAAGGACATTAACAAACAAAACAAAACATTTGATTTTTTGGACGGGAAGGGCGTTTGGGAACAGTTAAAAAGGGTTTGTGAAAAACCCTGAGGAAAAGCAGGGAAAACAGGGGAAGGGATAAAGGGTTTTTCAGGGAAAAAACTTGGTTCAGGAAAAACAGGGGGCGGAGTAATGTAGGAAGGGAAAAGGTGTAAAAGTGGGCCCCATTGGCCCCAGGGGTTTGGGCAGGGGTCAGTTTGGGAAACCAAGTGGTGTTTCGGTATTGTGAAAAACATGAACGGGGGGAAATAGATTCGGGGTTTTGGTCCCTGAATTTGGGGGTTAACGGGGTTTGATGGAGAATTAATATTGAAGAACAAAATAAAAGGGTTTTGGAAGGTAAAAAATTTTTCCACTTTTTCTTCCCTTTTGGGTTAAAATAACCCCAAGGGGAAAAACCAAAAAACAAACAACCCAACAACACACCCAAACACAAACCCACACCCAAAAAAAACCCCCCCAAATAACCCCAAAACACACCCAACCCACATAAACCAAAAAAACCCAAAAAAACCCCCAACAAACCTCAAACCCCAAAACCCACACAAAAGGAAATTTCTTTTTCGGACCCGAACGTTTACGGGGTTCCCAAGGAGATTGGGCAAAAATTGGAACCAACAAAAACCAAAGGGCCCCGGGGAAGGGGAAACGGGGAAAGGCAAAGGTTTTGGGGCAAAAAGGGGGGACTAGCCCCAGGGCTGGGGGGTTTTTCCAAAGGAAGGGTTTTTTAAAAAATTTTAAACGACAGGGAGGAAGGAAGGATTGGGGGGCAATAAGGGAATAAAAATTTACTGAAAAGCCCGGGGTTGGAACAAAGGGGACGGAGGGGTTCCAAAATTGGCCGTTTTTGGGGCCTTTGGGAAAGCGAAACAAAAGATGAATAAAATTTTTGGGGGGGGGGAAAAGGAACCCCATTTCATCGGGGGCCAAAGGGGATATCCCATAAAGGGAAAAAATTTGGGGGAGAAAAAAAAACCAGGAATCCCTTAAAGAAATTTAAAAAAAGCGAGGTAGGGGGAATAAAAAAAAAAAAAAAACCTCGGGGAAAGATTCCCCCTTTTTAAAAAAAGGAATAAATTGGAAGAGGCGGGGCCCCAAGGGAGTCGGACCAAAAACCCCACCCCCAACCTAAAACTGGGAAAAGTCCAAATTTCACACAACACCAGCAAAACACAAACAAAAAACCAACCACACACAACAAAAAAACAAACACAACAAAAAACGAAAAAACAAAGACAAGCCCGAACACAGAACAACAACATTTGGAACAAGAACGTGAATAAGGGTTGTTGGGAAATTATTTTTTAACCGGTGTCAAAAAGGGGAATATTTTGGCGGCATTTTGGGGAGGCAGGAAACATTTTTTTAAAAGAGGAAATGTTTAAAAGGTGGGGTGGGGGAAAATACCATTTTACAAAAAATTGAAAAAGGCGGGGGGAGGGTAGAAATAAACGGGGATAACACTACCCAACAACAAAAATCCACCCCCAAAATTTTAAACCACTAAATAAAACAAAACAAATTTTTTAAAACACAGGAAGGAAAGGGCAAAAAGAAAAAAAAATCGGGGAAAGTGGAAAAATTGTCCCCCCCAGCTTTAGGGTGTTTGTAATTAGCAAAAACCATCTCAGATTTTTTGAATAATAACTTCCTAAAGAAAAAAGGGGGAAATAAAGTATAAAACCCAAAAAAAAATTTTTAAAAAATTTTGAATGTAAAAAAATTTTAAAGGGGGGGGTAGCAGCCGACCGGGAAAAAGGCCCTTTTTGAACCCCAAAAATTCCCAAATTTAAGGGGTTAAAAGGGTTGTGCCCTAAATTTCCTTTGAGTTTTTTTTCCCCCTGTTTTGAAAAATTTGGCAAAAAGGTTTTTTTGAAAAAAAAAAATTAAATTAAAGTTGGGTTTTTTTATGGTTAAAAACCCACCCACCCACTTTTTTTTCCCTTTTTTCGTCCCAAGGAAAAAAAGGGAATTAAATGTTTTTAAAAAAAAAAATTAAAAATTTTCCAAACTAAAAAGGGGTAAAGCCTGGGGGTTAAACCCCCCCCCCCAAAAGGGGCCCAAGTGTAAACAAAATTACCCAATTTTTTTTTTAAACCGGTTTTGCCCGTTTTTATTAATTTTTTTTGTTTATTTAATAAAATGAGGTTGAGAAAAATAATCCTTTTTTCAAAAAAACCAGGGAAAATGTGGAACCCAAATTATTTTTTGAAAAAAAAAAACCCCAAAATGGGGTTTTTTTAACCAAACCCCCCCCCCCCCCCTTTTTTTAAAAAGGGAAAGTAAAAACCCAAACCACAAAAAACCCAAAAGTGTCCCAAAAATTATTTTTTATAAAATTAGAAAATTTTAAAAAGGGAAATTTTGAGGGGTTTGAAAAAATTTTTATTAATCTCCGGGAGAGCGAGTAGTGGTGCCCCCAAAAACAAAAAATAAAACCCCCCAACCCCCCCCCCCCCAAAACACACCCTAAAACCCACACACACCCAAAACACAACCCCCAAAAAACCCCAAAAAAAAAAAAAAAAAAAAAAAAATCCAAAACCATTAAACCCCACACCCACCCACCCCCC